ACACAGGTAATGGGGAAAAATATAAGAACCAAGATACATCATGTACAGGTACAAGCACCCAATGATAAATGTAAACATACTGTATACCTAAAATGTACCAATAAAAGAATAAAAAATATGTATTTTTTTAAATTGTACTAAACTGAATTTCAAAACCACAAAATACAGGGAATCTCCTGGAAAGGCTAAAGATTTCAGTGCAAGTTGACAGAGTAAAGCTATCTTCAAACTGGCACTAGGTGCAGGGAAGCAGAGGAGAAATTAAGTTGCTAGTCACCCCCTCTTTCATGCTAGGAAGAAGTCTCCCCATTCATGTGTATACAGCGCACCCACACTGCTGGCCAGCCTCATCCAAAAGGAACCTATGGGGAACATAGTCACAATGACATTCTTCCACCCAGTCTGCCATTCTTAAATAAAAACCAGGAACAAATGGAAATAATTCAAAGCACTTGTTAACAGAAAAGATATAAGTAAATACAAGATATTGTTATTCAAAGCTAAATCTCAGAATTTTTTTAAGAGTAGTGAACATGGTATCATAACATGTATATTTAGTTTCATTGGGGAATGGTTCTGTGACATTGTGCCTATGGCCTGTAGAAATTACTCTGATGACTCTTGACTGATAATTTTGGGTTTCCTTGTATAGAAAGACATAGAAAATGAGACACCATCCTCTATAGTTATGAATAGGAAACTATTCATAACTACTTTTTACTTGGCCTTTTTTCTATAACATGTAAATATTTCTTAAGAGGTTTCGAATCTTCATATTGAACATTTTTGAAGCAAATGCTGATTGGTTTGAATCATTAAATCTTAATTTTCCATTTCCATATTTTTCTGACAACTGGACTACATAAACAACATCAAGACTAATGGACCACAACATCAGCTTCACAGTAACTGAGACTTTTAATTTTTTTCCTATAGTTCAACTTAATATCTATTATGAAGTCTTATTTTGCATCAGACAAGAAATATGTTTTCCTAGACTTGTGGAAGTGGGAGGGTAAATCCATATTGCCCAAAACTCAGAGGGAGTGAGGGAAATGACACACATATGATCTTTAGTGTCTCCAGCTCTCCTCACCAATATTTGCTAAAAGACTCTCAATACTATATGATCTGTGATAAATGATCGAAGCAAGTTTTTAGTCAACAGAACAAAATCCTTTGATGTCTAGACCTCTTCTAGACACATTCTCAGAGATCTTAAGAAATTTCGAGTCATACCCTTATGCTCTGCTGGAGCGTGGGGCTCCTTGTGGCCATAGCTGGTGTTCTCCACGTCTCCATGCCACACCCCAGGGCAAGGGAATCAAGACTCAGGTCAGGAACTCTGAAACCTACTCAGCCAGTACTCAAGAGCAGCATCGTAGAACCTCTCTAATTTTAAATCTCTGCCAATTCCTGAGCTTTTTAGTTTTTACCAGTTCTCAGTCGGACTCTAACCTTTCCTTCTGTCCACCCAAGGTGTCCTTATCTAACCCAAGATTGTGGTTGCAGCTGAGAGTAAAGATGAAGCGGGAGATCTATAACTAATTCATTTATGACTTAAAATTTTTTGAAAGTTGATTTTAAAAAAGAAAGTTGATTTTTATGACTCCTTTCTTCTCTTTAGATTTCTATTTTGCCAATATATTCCTAATGCAATATATCAAACAGCTTCAGAAACTGAATAGAGAAGAGCAAGGTGTATTAACTATGAGGATATATCTGTCATACTAAAACATTTTCCTTCATATATAAAAAAATCATCACACTAATCCCTTGAGTAAAGTTGTAATATAAAAATAGAGTGGAGGGCCAGGGATTTAGCTCAGTGCTTCTGCCAGTTCTGCCACCTGCCTCACAAATGCAAGGTCCTGAGTTCGATCTCTGGTACCAAAAAAAAAAAAAAAAAACCCAGAGTGGATATCAAGATGCATCCCCTATATGTACCTTTTTATATATCAATTGTATGTCAATTTTAAACAAGAAAGAGGAATTAAATTTTTAGAGGAGATGGTTATATCTAGAACATTATTTATCATAACAATTTCATGGGTATCTACTTATCTTCAGTCTCATTGAGATGTTAAATATGTGTAGCTTTTTGTCCATACCTCAATAAAATTTTTAGAGTAACAATAGAAAACTAAAAACTATTTCCATCAGACTAATATTTGTCTATACTTTCCCTTTAAAGGTATTTTCAGAATTATTAAAATATTTGCCTTGTCCATCAACCACCCCTCCCCCCATTATTGCTCATAATTCCCACTGCTTCTGAACCAGGAACAGAACTTCTCTACCCTGTCGTCTCTGCCTCTAGCCTGCATGGGTTTGGGTGCAGGCTGCAGGTGTGTGGGGAGCACTGTGCTCTCACTGCACAGAAGTAAGTGGCTGAATCACTCTGCTGGCAGTCTCTGATGTCCAGGGAAACATATCGGCTGGCTTTGCTGACCTGCATTCTGAATCTTCCTTCCTTTTTGTCGTCTTTAGAGTATGCAGCCATCAGAAATACAAGGCCTTTCCCAGAAAATTGTCGGTACCACGTGAAATAATCAGAAGCACTGCTCCTATACGTGCAGTTCAGAGAGACGATGGCTCCTTCCAGAACATTGCAGGACTCAGGACTCTGCTCCACATCCTTCTGCTGGCTGCTCACCCCTGTGCAAAAAAACAATGGCCAAAGAAGATTGATTGGGTAATGTGGGTACTTACTCTCCAGAATAAAAATTATCTTCTCAGTGCTTTCCCAATCTTCCTTATTTAGAGAATAAAACTGTTCATGTTTATCCCACAGTCCTGGCATAGACAATTTTACATGTTGTTCTTTATGTTCCCAAATAAATGCCCCAACTCACAGATGAACTGAAGCCACAGGAACACTAATAAAACACTGAAGGATTCCACCATTTTTCTGCTCTTGTTCACTGAAAATTCAGATTTTAAACTCTACAAAGCTTCTTCAGACACTTCTGATTCTTTTGCTGTAGGAAATAAAGAATAAAAGTATCTGTTCTCAAAATTAGATGTTCCTTTAGTCCTCCAGCTACACCAAGCCCCTCTTCTGATAGCTTTCCTCTCTCTCTCTTTCTCTTTCTCTCTATGTCTCATCTCTTATCTCTCTCACATTCTTACACACACACAGACACACACACACACACACACACACACACACACACAGTGTCAAAGCAGCAGTTGAAACTATCCTTGGGTACCTGAGAAGATGCTGCCATCTTGTGGACTCAATGTAGTGATGAATGAAATATGGAAAATGCAGACCCTTAATGGGAACCATTAAAAACAAAAAATACTTTAGTTAAATGAACAATTTAAGAAACATTTGCTCCAAGTCAATCTCTACGTATGAGAGTCCATGAATGCATATAAAAGTTGCAAATACTCAGTAAACCTGCTAATGTAGTTTAACAAAATGATGTAATCTCAGCATAAGTAAAGTTTCACACTAATTCCAAAACAGAATTAAAATCCCCTTCAGGTTATATATTCATGTCTGGAGAAGGAGGAGATAGAATGTCTCTCTTTCAGGAAAGATAATGGGTGAACCTTTGTACTCTTTTTTGATAAATCAAAGAGTACCGTGTTAAGTGCAAACTCCCTTGTGTGGGTCATAATAGTTAAAACAATATATGCTAGGGCCAGGGATTTAGCTCAGTGGTTACAACACCTGCCTCACAAGTGCAAGGTCCTGAGTTCAATCTCTGGTACCAAAAAAAAAAATACAATATATACTAACTATCTTCATTCTGAGATTTCTCACAATTGTCTGACTCTGAGATTATAGGAGACATGATTGTGGTTGATGCTGCACATTAGTTTTATGGTTCTGCTTGGAATTCTTCCAAATTTGCTTTAAATAAATGCTGTTTGAGATAAATTAAATGTATTTTGTCTCAGCCTTTATTAAATAAATTAAAATGGGTGATGAAGAAAAAGAGTTATGTGAAAATTTCTAGAAACTAACACAATGTAAGACTTAAGTGAAAGACGGAAGAATGCTGAAAGATAGTCCACCATGAATCTCTCTTACTCCTACATGTCTTACTGAGTGTGGCAGTAGTGTGAGGCTGGACTCACCAACTGCATCATTTCCCAGAGCTATGCTTGCCACAAGCAACCTTTATAACAAGGTAATATCCTCTCTGAGTCCATTAAAGCAGGGAATTCCACAAGATCAGAGTTCCTCCATGTGACATATATCTTTGCAGGCAGAGCATCCATCTGTACACACTGTATCTCCCTGTATCTCCCTGTAGCTCTCTGTATCTCCCTATATCTCCCTGTAGCTCCTTGTAGCTCCCTGTAGCTCCCATCAGGGAAGGAGGCACCGAAGAAAAGGCACCAGTGTTTATGCCGCTTGCTGTGTCCTTAGCAGTAAAGTCCTTTGCCTCTGGCTCAAGGCCTATTAGACCACAATGTGATCTTAAACCATATCCTTTTAAAATCTAATCTCCTATAAAACATGTACCAAGGATAACTATTTATATTTGTTTCCTGAGGAATTTTTTTTGCAATATTTTGTAATAAAATTTGGGCAAGTTCTCCTAATTATTTGACTAGAGAAGTTATCTTTATTTTCCCCCATTTTTTAGTTATATCTTTTTTCCTCTTTCTGATATTTCCTTTAGAGCTGACTCAGTCCTTTCTATAAGATGAGTTCAGTTGGGTTCTGGAAGGATAGGACCCCGAGAGTTTCTAATTATTTGACAGCATCCCATGGGCACAGGAAGGCTGTGGTCTGAGTCTGAGGTAAAGTGCTGAGGAGAACTGAGCTGAATCCCTTAATAAAGCAGAGATTAGACACTTCATTAGGGGTGCTGAGATGGGAAAGAGAGAAAGGAAAAGAGAGAATGAGAGAAGGGCCAAACAACATTCATTCATTCACTCATTCATTCATTCCTTCAGTAGATATTTCTGAACTAACTATAGTGGGCCAGTCACTAGTCTAGACTCCAAGGATAAATATCTGAGTTAAACAAACAAAACTCCTGGCCTCATGAATCTTATAATGTAACTGGAGGAATAATCACTCAACACATTAACACATAAATCAACACCATAGTTCCACGTTATGATTCTCACTAGGGGGGAAATAACCAGCATGCTGTGGCAGAGCTAGGGGAGGGCTATGGATGGATATTTTAAACAGGAAAATAAGAAAAATTGATATTTGAGTTGAGACTTAAAGAATGAAAATGAGTCAGCCTGGCCAACACTTGGGTGAAGAACATTTCAGATGGATGAAAGAGTAAGACTAAGCTTGGGAAAGGATGTCTCAAATTCAGAAAACTGGGGATCAGTGTAGCTGCTGTGCAGTCAGGAAAAAGAGTTAAGAGCGGAGACTGATGAGTCAGGCTATGTTCAAATTATGTAGAACCTTGTAAATCACAGTTCTGAGTTTGTAATTTGTTCTAGAAACAATAGAAAAATATTGAAGCATTTCAAACTGTTATAAATTTGATTAAAGCTCTGCAAAGCCAAACAGAAAGTTCAGCAGATTGGTGTTTCTCCCACTATTAAGTGACAGTCTCTTCTGGAAACCTTCAGCATACAGACTTGAGTTGAGTAGACCATTGGAGTCTGAGCTTTCGCATAGCTCCAGAGACTGCTGTTCCTCAGTCTGGGGAGCAAGCATATGTGCAATGTATCCCTTGACAAAAAAGGGGTCAGTGAGAAGTTAATCTGGACCAGAACAAGGCATTTTAAAAATTTTTAATTATCATATTGGAGGAAAGATACTGATTCTGTGGGATGGACATATGTTTCCTCATCCAGCTTTATTTTGTAAATGTTAATATAAAAATTTTAAATGCTGTAAAAACTTTCACCTAAAATAGAAAGTATTTTAAAATGATAATGTCCATAATCAATGAGTTAATGGTAAATCAGTTATCATTAATGTGACTCTGTTGACATCACATTTTGGTGAAAAATATTTTGATGGAAATAACCATTTGGCATCATATGTCTAGTCTTATTCAGACAACTATCTTTCCAGTAAAACTTCAACTTAGTGGTATCCTTTAAAAACATTGTCTACCATTCATGGTGACACATACCTGTAATACCAGCACTAGAGAAGCTGACAGGAGGATCATAGCAAGTTCAAGGTCAGCTAACTGTACATAGCGAATTCAAGGCTGGCCTGAACTACATAGTGACACCCTGTTTCAAAAAAATTGTCTACAATAATTGGACACAAAATCAAAAAGTAATTAATTTTTCAATCTGTATAAAGAAATGAGGCCATCATTTAAAATTATCTCCTTAATAGGTTGCCTGGCTTGGAAGTACCTAACTATAATAGAGAGAGACGGGCTTAACTATAGTAGAGAGAAACAAGCATGTTAATAAATATTAGATATATAAGGATTCCTTTTCACAGAAAAATATGCCTGTATACATGTACTCCCAAAATTTTAAATGATATTACCTGTCATATGTAAGTCATGGAATTACATGTGTGTCTCATTTTTATCTGAGTGCTTATATTTTCAAATTTATCCAAAGCCACCTGTCTAACTAAATAATACATTTAGTTTAATTATAACACAAAGTTCCTTCCCTTCACTCTGGATCCAGCTTGTATCTTTTGTGGAAAAATCAATTGTGAAAGTGATATGGTTTATATCTAGATGTCCTCCAAGACCCTTGTGCACTTATATATGGGGCTTTGGGAATGTGATTGGATTATGAGGTTTATAACTGACTTGCTGTTAGGAGGTGGGGTCTGAGGTCTGGTCAGAAGAGGCGACTCACTGGGGGCATGGCCTGTAAGGGTCCATCTCCCACCCAGGATTCTCCCTTGATCTCTCTCTCTCTCTCTCTCCCCCCACCCCCAGTTGTGGGCATCGGGCATCAGGTATTTTGTCCTAGCATTGAGGGAAGTGACTAAGGCCCAAGGGGTCAGAACTTCTGGGATTTACTCCTGGCTTTCATTTCTGTAAAGCATGGTTTGAGTAAGTCACACCACATCTGTGGTTCCAAATTATTTCATCAATTACATGCAGAGCCTGGGGCTAGGTCAGTTTTTGCTGGAGCGCGACTGATACAGAAAGTACAGTAATGTAAGCTGTACAGGAAAATCTCTAAGCATATACAAAACCCCTCTCTCCTCCCAAATGTCAGGGCTCTGCAGGCTGCAGGTGTGGGGATACTAGGCTGCCAAATGCAACAGCAACTGATTGAATCTGTAGCATGAGAGGCTAGAAATTTCAGAATACTGCATAAATTCTCTTCCAAGCAGATCTTTAAAGCTATTGTCAACCTGCCCTTTCTGGCTACGTTGAATAAAGGTGAAAAACACAAGTCCCTTCCCAGGGCATTGTAGGAACCACGGGAAGGTGAGGATAATTCTTACCTGGGAAGTGTAGTTCAGATGGCAAGTGTTTTCTGGATACTCCAGAATGAAGGACATTGCTTTAAACATAGAAGCTCGCGTAAAGGAGATTCACTAACAACTGACTACATTTTTTTTTCTTTTGGTAATGGGGATTGAACCTGGGCTCTTTGCACTGAGCTACATTCCCAGCCCTTTAATTTTTTTATTTTGATACAGGTTATCATCTAGTAGACCAGGTTGGGCTCCAATTTGTGATCCTCCTGCCTTGACCTCCCAGAACACTGAAATTATAGACATGCACCACCACCACTGGCTAATGGCAAACTACTCTTTGAAGATATACACTACTTTCAACAATTCCACCAATGAGCATAGTCGCTCTGGTCACATTTCTGCAACTTTTAGACTGCTATGATCTGCTATTTTCACTGGAATCTCTATAGCCACCAACATACAGCACAGCTCCCAAGAGAAAATCATAAATGAAACTTTTGAGAGCTGCTCCATTTTTCTATACATTACATTTACAAGAACTCTCTCATCTTCAATA